CGATGCCAATCTCTTCGACATGCTCTGAACGGCATGTGTCTCGAAAAGATTTGGCACTCACGACTTGGCACCGAATGGAAGAGCGAGGAGGAGGAATAGTACACGGGACCTCGGAGCCAGTTGCATCACGAATCGTGAGTGTGCGTCGATGGAAATTGACCGTGTGGTCCGCGCTAGAAAGCCAAGGCATCCCCAAAATGACATCGAAGTCGGTGTCCAACACGTCAAAAGTGACGGGTTCACATGCATGTGGTGCAAAGTACACTGGGACAGCCGAGATGTAACGGTCTAAAAGCTGTTTAGTCTTACCGTCGGCAAGAACGACCGTCGTCGGATGTGACTTCCTCCGTACTTGTGCGTCAAGGCCAGCCCGAGTCATGAAGGACTGGCTGATGAAGTTGCGAGTTGCGCCGCAATCTAGCAAAGCGTTGCAGGCCGCTTGCCCAATCTGATTTGCGGACGTAGAGCAACGGTGCGTTGTTTTCTTCGTACCGTTGCGAGACAAACTCGCGGGCCACCTTGGCAACATAGCCAAGCATGTCCCCCACCACGACTTCGTCTACCGTCAGCGAAGTTGGTGGTGCATGGAAGGAAAGATACTCGTGTAAGAGGGCGCATAGTGCTGCGCTTTGCGGCCCCGAAAGGTTGCCCGTCGTAGGGAGAGGAATCCAAGCGAAGTCCTCGGGCGTGAGCGGGTCCAAGACCTCCTCGTTGAACGTGCTTGTCGAATCCCTTGATGAAGACGAAGTGGCGGAGGAACCTCCAGACGATGAGAAAGCCGCACATGTATCTTGTCCTTGAGAAGCATCCAGTGAAGGAACGAGCCGGGCAACGAGGTCTTCGAACGAAAGTGGAAGACTCCCGACATCCGCATATGCCTCGGAAGAAAGGGCGGTCGTGCGCACAACCGCTTCCGATGGCGTCGAGGGAGGTGTCGAGTCACCCTCGGCGGCGCCAACTTTCCCGAACGGGGTTTCCCCTTGGTGGGGCAATGTGCAGCATCGTGGATGGTGCTATTGCACCAAAGGCAGTACCGGTACTTGAGTCTCGTGCGATAGGAATTCGCCAAGAGTCCGTATTGTGCCCAAGGTTCGTCGACCGCTGATCCGGTGCTCGGTGTAGAGGTGGACTGAGTCTTCGTCTTGTCGCGGCCGTAATTGTTGCGCGGCCGGCCACCATCCCAGGCAGCTGCCAACACTTCACCCTCGTTTGGTGTTGCAGCCTGGTAGAAGTAATGCAAGCCACCTTTGGCTTGGGCTGGGTGTTGCTCGTCGTCGCGGAAGATCGGTCGGCGTTGCGGGCTTCTATATTCGTCAGAATGATCCGCGACGCTGTGCTGAAAAGCTTGTCAGATGTGTCGAGTGTCTCTGCAATCTGCGTCAGCGCGTTTTGCAGAGCTGGACACAAGCGCATGATAAACAAGTGCTTGATGGCAAGGAAAGCGAGCGGCAGGTCAGGTGTGGAGGCGAGTCTTTGGAACTCAATGATCCAGTCCTGACTGAGCAGCGTGTTCTGATGGAGCTTGTTGAGCTTGTCCATCGCTTGCAGGTCGGGCATCTCCACTTGGAATCGCTTGTGCCAGGCGTCGGTCAACTCCTGCCAAGTGAGCTTGGTGTGCAGTTCCGACACTGCTACGYCGTGGCTGGTCAAGATGTTGTCCAGCCATGCTTGACATGCACCACCAGATCGGTGGTACAAGCACGGATGTCGATCGTTGTTCGGGACATGGTGCATGTCGAGCCTGAGAGTAAACTGGCACCACCACGGGATCGGTTCCGTCTTGGACTGATCGCAGAAAACTGGAATGTCATCCAGTTTGGGTGGGCGCCGGGAGGATGCGGCGGCGGGCGTCACGGTGGCAGCAGCCTSKAYCTGCGTCTCCAACTGCAAGTTCGTTGCTTGCTGCGACGTCCTGAAGTCCTGATGTACCCGCTTGATATTGTTGACGTCATCCTCCAAAACTTGCACGCGGGTGGTAAGGTTGGAAGGCCCTACGGCTGCTACAGCAGCTGGCTGTTTCTCCAATGCCTGCAGCCGTGTAAGCATCTGGTCCACCGTCTGCTGCAAGTGAAGGATTTCCTCCTGCTGCAGAGCGCAGGTGGCCACGAGGTCGTGGGAGACCTGCGCAAGGGCTGACAGCCCTTTCTCAGTCTCCGGGGGCCCGTCTGCAGATGCCATTTCCACCCAATGTGCGGTCTCATCGCCGATCATGGTTTCCCGCATGAACAGTCGTTCCCGCTGGCGTGACCGGTGTTCAGCTGCCGCCTGCAGGTCCGCCTCCTCTTGAAGAAGTCGGTCCTGTTCCTCCTTCCGTCGCTTGGCCTCCTCTGCTTGCTCAATCTGACTTCGTTCCTTGGCCGCGGCGGCGGCCCTATCGTTGGCCTCTTGGATGAATGCCGC